TAATGCCGTCGTTCCCGCGGCCTGCCCACACCCACGTTTGAACTGCTGTTTTCATCCTCTTCTTCTGCCTTGTCTTGTCTTGTCTTGTCCTCCGTTCACGTTCCCTCCTCCGTTACCGTACGGACAAATCTCTAACCCAGCAGCTGTTCCAGCTTCGCGCCTGTGTTCTGGTTAAACCTCTGCCACGTTTGTTCTAAACAAAAAAAAACAGCTTTTGGCAGAAGAACTTTCGTCTTCTTCGTCTTCCTTTTCACCTCTTGCCTGACAACGTCATCTCCAACATCCTTTTTCTGATATGGCCGTGACCTCTCCTTCAAACTGCTCCACCTCGACTGTCGCTCTGATTCCAATCCTGTCAATCCTCGACACTGAATTCTGGTGAAATTCTCTGCACCTTCGTCTTTACTTTTTTTACGTTTTCCCATAATATCATTACAAATATAACGTAACATGAGCTGCTTCCAAATGAAACACAGTGTCTTGACCTCCTTCCTGTTGTGACCAGTCTTTTAGTGGCACTGCTTCACTGCTGCAGGATGAAAAACTACTCAATTCCAAGCTTAATTATCAACGGAAACATTGTTGATTATTTCAGTCGTTATCGTTAACTTCCTTCACTAAAAGAAGACTTCGGTCATGGCACGATCACAGAGCCAGTTCACATGAAAACTGATCAGTGATTTGTTGATTGATTTGTTCAATAACATTGAAAAAAAAAAGGAACTGGCAAAGACATAAAAAAAAGTCCTGATTAAAGGAACTAACTGTTGGCTGTTTTTGAAAGAACGCCATAAAGTGCAGTTGGAAATGACACCGTGCGGCCGAGAGAGGCAAAAAAAAAAACAGTTTTGAAAGATATTAAATAAAATAAAGCATAAATATGTTGAGATGTGAATTTGAGGCAGAAGAAAAAGCGAAGGCTCAGACATTTGAATAATTGGAAAGACACATTAAAGTGGCTGAAATCTGCAAGTGCTTGAATAAAAGTTAAGGCCAAGTTCTTCAAGACTTTTAACAAGCACTCAAGAAAATTACTTTTTACTTAGACAGTTTTTAAAATTAAATCAGAGGGAAATTAACTGAGTGGCATATTCACATTTAAATTTAATTTAATTTTCTTTTAATGTGTCATATTTAAAGTTGTATTTCCTACAATTTCCAACTACAAATTTAACACATTATCTGGATGTGCCTGGAATTTAAAAAAAATTCAAAAATGAAAATATTTATATATACTGTATATATATATATATATATAATTTTTGGAGATGAGTCTAGAGATGAATGAAAAAAAAGTTCTTTTTGTTCTTCAAAAAGAGACAAGACGCTGTGATGAAGAGGAGTTGGTTTTTAGTTCGTCTCTACGACCTTCGTCTCTACGACCGTCTCTAAAACAGCCCCCACTGGTCAGCTTCACTACACCGTCGACCAATCACATCAAAGGAAATCAGCCTCTAATTAGCTGCTGTGTAGCTCAGAGAAGGAGAGTGGAAACTTTGGAGAAGTGATGAGAAGGTGGAACGACGTGAACCGGGCTTTTATGTTTGTTTTTATTTTTCTTTGGTGTTGAGCCAGGAGAACCAGGAGAACCAGGAGAGAGAATAAATCGATCCCTTTGGATCAATTACCAAAGTTCTGCTGCTAACAAATGGAGCTGTTTGTGGAAAACACCATACTGTGATGTAAATATGAACGCCGGTGGGATTCACGGAATTGGTTTTGTCAAGATAAAGATTCTTCTGACATGAGCTAAAAAAAAAAAAATAAATGTCCACGTTCAAACCTCTGACCAGCAGGGGGTGTGAGAAAATACTGATACACTGAAATATTGCGATACTTAATTTCACAGTACTGTATCGACCT